TCTCGTGATCGCAGCTAAGACGTTTATTAGTAAGTTATAAACGCGCAACCGATCTAATGCACCTGTTTTATTTCGTGGTTTTATACGTGACTGCGATTTGTAAATTCTTGTGAGGAGGATGGGAGGGGAGTGGCACGGCAGAAATAAATAGTGATTATGTTTCCTCTTCTTTTTATCGACTGACATATTTTTCTGCATCTGACTTCTTGACTATCCATACTGTCAGTGATATGTGCGGTTAATATAGTTTATTATTATCGTCAATTTTTCGAAATTTAATCGGCATATTTATCTCAAAAAGATAGCAAACGCTGCAAATGATTATCGGAGATTTAAACATATTTTATCTCTCCCTCGCTTAATTATCTGTGATTATTATTATTATTATTATATCCGCGATTAGCGACAAAGCCGTATATAACGCACGTTTTCATTTATACAGTCTTATACAGGAAATTCGGTCGTGGGCGAATAATTTTGTCACGTCGCGCGTTGTCTCCTATCGTGACGATTAGAGGAACGATTTAACATTTAACGTAACCCACACATCCAATTGACTTATATATACTATATATATAATACGCCAGTTGAGCTTTAACTAACGCGAGTAATTTTCGGCGGTCTTGTAACATGCCGTCCTATATATAGATAGATACATCATTGCATACATACATATGTTAGCCATTCTATATGTTATATCGTCAATAAACATAGAGATTGTATTGTTAGAAACATTGATTGAAATCGATTATTAACATATAATATTACGCAGAACGCATTTCTGATCCTTATATACATGTAGCTTTATGTAAAAAGAAGAAAAAAAATCAAATCTCTAACAAACAATCTTAAGTATAATTTTTTCTATATTAATTCTCACATATATAAATTGTGTAAAGTAAAAAATTAAGTATCAAAAAATGCTCATAAAACGAGTAGCTATATTTTTTCATTAAAGTACCGAATGTAAAGTTGAATTCTCGAAAGTGCCGCGGTGTTAATAAAGATCCATCGAATGCGTGTTATATACAGTGCCGCGCGACGCAACGGTTCTTTTTGCTCGGGAGTCTCGCGACTGAACCTTGCGTCGGGATCCGTATAAGGTCTGTCTTGCAAGACACTTGCCGAGGTACAAGCCTCCTAAGTATGCTTTACTACGATATATACATATACACGGCACAGTCTCACTGTGTCGATTACGATAAGATCGGTCACGAAAATTTTTATTGCTTTGTTTTAAATGTTAAATTACACCTATTATAACAATTACACTTAAAAATTAATATAACAGACTCTTTGCTGCTTTGACCCATAACTGACGAAAAAAATTTCAAACCCTCTCAAATCTCTTCTCTTTCATTTTACAGATATTGTTGAAACAGCTTAGAGAAATTACTTTTAAGCTAATCAATTTAATTGTATTAATTTTCTTTTAAATAGAATAATATACAGCGATTGAAATACTCACCTTGCAATGATATCGCGTTGACTATGTGCGTCCAACGCGCGACGCGACGGTCATGCGACATCACGTCTTTGCCGTTGGAGCAAAAGCGAAGCGAGCGGAGCGTGACGCGAATCGTTATTGTTGTGCTGTCGTCTCGTTGTTTTTAATGGCGAGTAGTCTGTCGAGCGAAGTGCCCGTTTAATTACCGTATGCTCGTTTCAACATGGGCAGTCTTTGCCTGCTTGGATCACATCACTATGGTTCCGATCCTGGCCTCGGTCCCGGTCCGCCCACCCGCATCCGCTGCCCTAGCCCACGTAGAAAGGTGCAACGACGTATACGTTTGCACATTGATGACCGGTGTAGAGTCAACTGCACCGCTGCTAATTTGCTAATTCGTTAATTCGCGGCTACATTTTCCCGAGCTTTTATGAAAGTTATATGTCGCATGTTACTAATGCGTCCGGTTAGAAAAAATACTTGTCTTGAGTATCGTAACATTTGCTTATTGCGCGCGCCAAAGATCAAACTTATACAACGTTAATTATTTTTGACTACTGATATAAAGTTTTTAGCCTTGAATTTATTTTGTTTTGGAATTGCTTTACATAATATCTCGAACGGCATATTATTTTTCATCGCCGCGAAACGTCCATTCCATTAATCGTCATCAGTTAAACCAACTGTTAATATTAAAATTTTAGAAACAATAGAAATGATTATATCTAATATGCATAACGGCGGGCGGACCTCAATAAATATATAAACTGAACATTTTAACATAGACTCGCAGCAAAATTATGTCTCATCAGGATTAATTGCATTTAAATTGGCTATTACCGATGATTATAATGCTGCAATAATCCTGACACGTGTATTAGTCGAAAGCCGACTACCGCGTTTCCGAAAAACAACAGAATGTATTACTTCATACTGAGGCTTTCTTATTTTAACAAGCTTCTCTTTCTCTTTTTCTCTTTTAAATGCAATTTTTATTGCAAAAGATTCGAAGCGCAAAATCCTTCACAAGTACAATTTATAATACAGGATCATCGAATTCTGCATCGGTGTGTCTTTCCTCGTGATCGCTTCTTCCATCAACTTCCACACTAAAAATTAAATTTACACATAGGTGGCACCTTAATTGTTATTTGGCGCGTAAACGAGATGGAAACTATTTCGACAATTTCGCTAATTGGCAGGTACCGATAAATAATGTAACGCGACCGATAGATACATAAGTAGGAAAAGCGGACAGCTTCTAAAACAAATTAGCGATACATTTACATATGCGATATCTCATTATCTTTTAACTCGCGAAATTTTGCGTCGCAAACTGTAATGTGGAAAATAGAGGTGTATTAAAAAGATGGGCTTCCACATCAATGATGACTGCTACATCAATGATGATTCATGCAGAAAAGGGTCCTTCGATCTGGAAGGAAAAGGATGATCGCGGGATTTAACACTCGGCATCGCCGGCTGAATCAAAGATGGAACAAACGGTGAATGCACATTAGCTTTCTCAATGTACCCTTTCTCTTTTTCATTATGAAAGTAATGGGAGCTGTTGGACATGATCCCGAGATTCCTGTGGATTCCCGATGACCTTCCGACGCGGAAAGGAGAAAAATGTACGGTAGAATATACACCGCATAAAAATTGTTTATTAGGCTGGGATGTGAAAGTAGAAAGTAATGTTTTGCGAGTACAAACGCTAAACACTAAACGCTAAACGCGATCCTAGAGAGCGCGGAGGCACTTGTCGCGCACGACATTGACACAAGGAAGTTTGTCTCTGAATTCGTCAAATATATCTTTTCTATCGTTACACATATCCTCGCAATCATTCATAATCAATTTATAAATGTGAGCATTTGTAAGAATCCTACACTTCTCGCCAAAATTAAAGGATCACCTATTTTGATCGCTAAAAATAGGCACATTTTAAAAGAGTGTAACTTTGTCAAAAATGATCGTAACAAAATGATCCAAAAAGCATATTACAGCTTGAAGTCTCTACCTTTGAAATCCACAATTTATTAAATGATTTACTGATTCTTTACAAAGCTGCACGAATGCAAATGGAGATGCATTAAATCTAAACATTTTTTACCAAGTTTGCGAAATTCCATGGAGTGCAATAAAAATCGCATACAAATGCGACTTACAGCGTTCGAAAGCGTGAATCTTTACCTTTAATTTGCGTACCCGATAAGTATTGTGCGATTTTTTTTCACCGAGTTATTCAACATTGAAGTGAAAAGGACCATTTTTGCTTTCATATTGAATAACTCGGTGAAAATGAAAAAAAATCGCACAATACTGATCGAGCATG